ATTATGAACATAAAAATCATTTGTATTTATTTGGAGATAAAAAATTACCAAAGGTTTTTGATCAGCAGTGATAATTTTATCAGTTTTGTGATATTGCTAAATTATGTTTAGCATGTGACTCCTTTACTGTTTCAAAATGTTTTTATAGGGTTATTTCTAAAGTGCGCTTGACCCGAATATGTACTAATTCGTATATACTGTACTCCATTTTTACTTTCAGTTATTTGATTACTCAGCCTTTGATTGGCGAATGCCAATGAGGTATGTTTTGTGCAGGTTCAAAAAAGATTTTTAAATTTCAATATACTTCAATATACAGTACAGTACATCAGGCTCAAAAATTATTTTCACCCTTAAAAACATGAATAAAATCAATACAAAATAAACAGCATAGATAATGAGCTATATTTATGCCACTTGAGAAAACTACAGGCTTTTATTCTAATACAATTATTTCAGAACAAATGTTTTTTTAATGAGTAATACATGTAATTGTACAGTAATACATAATATCAAAAACATAAGTGTTAAAGTTATTGAATCCCCTGTTTCTAGTACTTGGTGCAACCTCCCCTGTCACCGATAACAGCACAAATATTTTCCTATAATGTGTAATCAGATTAGAGAAAACATTGGGAGGGATCTTGGTTCATTCCTCTACGCAGACATTTCTCAGATCCTCCATGTCCTTATGGGCTGCCTTCTTCAATTTAGACCACAGGCTTTTAATCGGGTTTACGTTCAGAGACTGAGATGGCCATTAAGATATGTTAATCTTGTTTGCAGTCTACCATTTCCTTGTTCATTTTGAGGGGTGTTTAGGGTCACTGTCATGCTAGAAGGTCCACCTGCGGCAAAGTCACTGCTTTCTCGGAGCGTCAACCAGGAGTTTTGGCCAGAATATCCTGTTACTTGTTAGAGGTCATGATGCCATTGATTTTCACAAGGGCCCCGGGCCAGTGGCAAACAAAACAGCTCCACAACATCAACAATCCACTATCATATTTCACAGTGGGTATGAGGTTCTTCTCTTTGTATCGATCTCTATTCTGACTCCAAACATACTGATGGCGCGAGTGGCCAAAGAGTTACATTTTGGCCTCACCTGACCACAGCACCCAGTTCTAATCAAAATCCCAATGGCGTCTGGCAAGCTCCAGTCGCTGCAGATTGGTTTTGTTATCAGGCTTTCTTTTGGAAACTCTACCAAATAGATTGTTGGCATGGATGTATTGTCTAATTGTTGATTTGGAGATTTGGTGACCCCAAGATGCAACCAGAAACTGACGTTCTCCCGCTGTGACCCTTTGACCTTGTAACTTCTGTTTTTAGTGGTTAATTTGTTGCCCTGTTAATGCTAAGTCGTACTGTATATTTAGGTTTTTTATGTATTTTTTGTATCCATTATCTGATTCGTACAATAGCCACTTCTCAGTTCTTTGCCTTTTCCCAGGCATGATTGATGGATGACAAAAGGTTTTCTCATGTGTTACCTCTTTTTTTATGCCCTTGTGAAAAAAAATCATTCCTTAGGATTGAGTAGTATTTAAATAAGCATAATTTTATTGCAGAATTCATTTTGTATTATTTGCTTAAGAAACGTAAGGGTTCCAATCATTTTCACCTATTCTTTTGAGAAAAAAATAATATTCATTTAAAACCATTTGTTTTGAAATAATCTTGTTAAAAAAAAGCCTGATAGCTTTCCCATTTCCCCCATTTTAGTAATAAAATATAGCTCATTATCTGTGCTGTCTATGTACTATATTTGTTCATCCTTATCAATATTGCCAATAATTCTTGAGCCCCCTGTATGTTATTAAAATTGACCAGCAACTGAACTATTTGAAATTAGCATTGTCTTTTTCATATCTTTAATTTAATTTAAATTTCTTCAAAATTATTGATGATGTCCTATAGCTATTATGTAATCAATACCCTCTTCAAATTTTAAAAACTTGACATTTTCTTAATGAAAGGCTAAACTTTGGTGCTTGCTTGAATTTATTGTAGTGCTTTGGATATGAAGCACACGTTGCTTTATAGCATTGCTTCCTAAGTATACAGACGATCGAGGAAAGTAATTCATCAAATGACTCACTGTTGACTAATTAAATACAGTGGTTCTGTACTGAGATTGTTTTTCTCCTGTCATTCCAGTACCATTCCTACTGTATAACACTGATGACTCACTTTTTAACACCAGAGACCAACACTAATGCTAAGCTTAATTTGTTTTGTTTAAAACTGTCACAAATATTTTTAAAACAAAGGATTTAGTCAAATGAGACTGGTATATAGATTAAAAGATAAGGAAGCTAAACTGCTCCAATCTGTTTGCTCTCAGTATATATTTAGATTAAGGGTAGGAAGTCAACCAAGCAAAGGAGAAAACAACACTAATTTGGAGCTCTATATCCAGTGAATATTATTTTTCAATTAATAAATGAAGGATGCTGTTAATTAAAGCTTACAAGTCAAAAAATATTATAATTTTCCCCTAAAATGCAGCTTGACAATGAATATTAAAATCAGCTCATCTTTAGAGTTTATTTTATGTTTGCGTTTGTTTACCACAATACTGTCTTCAGGGCATTTTCTTTCCCATTTGCCTAGATTAAAGCCACAAATGACTCTTTGGAAGTGCTTGTTGTACAAATACCTCTATCATTATTTAAATGCTTTTATAATGCTTCAGACACAATCAGAGGTTAACACCGGTATCATAGAGTGGATAATGTGCAGTGACATTACAGCTGGCCTTCCTTCAGAGACATATCAGGGAGAGAGGCAATAGCACCATAGAGGCACTGAGGGGACCAGCACCAGAAATACCCCTGGACTTAACAGGAATGCTAGCCACTTCTTAAAGAGTTTGTACTGCAATTTTCCACCACGTATGTGCTGTCAACAGAGAATTGCAGGGAAGTGTAGGGATATCGAGAGAAGACTGATGTCTTCTGCAGCATTTAACTAGATAGAACCACGCTGAAAGATCCATGAGATGAGATGACTCTCACAGCTCTCCTTTGAGGGATGTCACGACCATACATGAGCAGGTAACAGAGGCTATCAGCTTGGATCTGACCTGTGATATGGATATGGCTTTGGCATTCCATCCTGTCTGACTGGGAAACAGAGAACATCAGGGCAGCAGAGAAGGTAATTAAGGAACTTGCTAACTGTGAAAAAATCTGCATAGTGCAGCCTTAGACACCACACTGCTGGAGATACAGTGAAAGGTGTTACATTCACAACACAATACTGGATCCAAATACAATGCAAGTGCTATTAAAAGCTGTTTGTAAAAGCTGTGTCTAACTTGCAGATTCCAGATTTCAAGTTATATTATATAATTATATAACTGTGAGCAGCAACTGACCCCTCCAAAATTAGAGCAGTAGAGGCATGACCTATTCTCACCAGCATCAAAGAGCTGAGAAGACTTGTTGACGCTTCTGCTATTTGGAAGCTTGCTCTGAACTTTGTAGACGCTTGTGCCCTGGCTGAGTGGAAAATGTAAAGAGAACTGTGTGAAGACTTTTCAGGTTCTCAAGGGGCACTCACACAGCCCCCTGTCCTGGCTTTTCCGAACTGCAATGTGATGTGGGGTTTTTGGACAGTGCTTGTTCAAGAGTATTCCCAAATTGGAGTAAGTGCTGGTATAGTTCTGTTGGGCTTTGTGATGTGCAGAATGAAATGGCAAAACAAAATTGGGCGAAACATGCCAAAAATATCATGCAGGCCCTATCCTGTGAAGGGCTGTTACTGTACTTCCTGTCAGGTGTCCTACCAGGTTAACAAAGGAATTACAGTAACCATGGGCACCACAGTGCCAACCAACACCCCTTACCTGGGGGGGTGTCTTACTTTTCTAGAGCAACTCATGGAGTAAGACGCAGATGTAGAATCTGTACTATTATGGAAGAAGCATGAAAAGAGTGGCAAGAGCTAGAATTCCACTCCAGGAAATTAAAACACTAGGGACACTCTGGAATAATGACATTTGGTTGTATGCCAACACTGTAGGATGCCAGGAACAGGAAAGTCTGCTGCCACTACCTAGTGTTTTCAGACCTTAGTATGGCTTTAAGGGTAATCAAGACAGAATCAGATTTAATACAGAGCATTTCACTGATGTGTTTTCATGATAACATTCCTAGGTCACGTGAGAAGTATGCCGAATAAAGATCCTTTTGAGTTTGTGCCGACATATTCCATTGCCTGTGAGCAGGCAATGCGGGAATTGTAAACACTTTTCATTTTTGAGGTCAATTCTCAATTAGGTAATGGTTGCTAAAGTTTGAATTGAGTTTTGCATTTAAGAATCATAATCAATTGATAAGGTGTGATTTAATAACTCTCCTACTTTTAAACATACTATGGAAGGAAATCGCAGCCGCTCTTGAGAATTAAACTGCCTCTCTATTAGAATCCTGCACTTTTTTATAGCACCTTATTAGTAGAATGAAAAGGTAATGTGAAATGGTCATTTCCATTTTCTCCCTTAAAGACAAATTCTTGTGGTGTTCAAACATACAGAAATGCACTTTTAATGTTTATTTTAAAGATTCTCAAACACTCCCTTGGATTGTGTGGCACTTTTATTTTATAATAGTTTAATTTTATGTCATTTAATTTTCATTGCTCATTCATTTAAACTGTGCATAAACAAAATTTGCCATTACATACATTCCACAGACTTAGCTTTGATCGAGGGCAAATATTTGTAGCTTGTGTTTGAATACATTCATATTATTTATAATATTTGAATGTGCGGCTCTCATAGTTGTAGCTACTGTATATCGCTTAATCTCAGTCCTAGGACCATTTGCATGTGAAATCTCGTTCAGAAATGTTTCGGTTTATTCTAAAAATAAAGACATTAAAAAGTGTTCGTTTTAATAACATATGCACTTTATATTTGATGATAAAATACATTATACTGTTAAAAATAAATTATTAAAAGTTACGTTTTAAAACTTTCTTTTTATTATTAGGTGATGCACTGGAATAGATCATGTCTGAAGTACAGGGAACCGTGGAGTTTTCTGTGGAGTTACACAAGTTTCACAATGTGGATCTGTTTCAAAGAGGGTAAGCAGAGATTTTTTTATTGCTGTCACATTGGGACATATATACCTATATATTCTTTTAGGTTCATTTTTTCTGTTTCAGCTTTAGATGCTTTACATTGTGATGTTTTATTTTTATATGATTTATGTTTTTTAATGATAAACACACACATTTCCAAATGAAAAAAATATTTTGCTGGAATCCCTCTTTATAAATGGTACGTGCGGTAACAAATCCGAAACTGTATTAATCATAAAAATAAATCTTAATCAACTATACAATGTGTCCATTCATCAATATGAACAAAATCATTGGAACATTTTGAAAATATATTTTCTAATTAAATTTTAGAATGGATTCTCATGGTATAATCACTGTGCAGTGGAGCAAAGTACAGTGAAAACATGACATGAGTGCCAGGGATTGCAGAGCAAAACATTATACAAATGCACTAGAGGTGCTAAATTATAATGGTATGATGTTATAACCTTTATAACATTGCTGAAATAAATCTGCAAAAACAGCAATTCTAATCCCATGGTATTGAAGATGAATCCCCAGCACCCTTCAAGAAAAAATGGGAAAGATACTTGGATCAATAAAGTACTAGTAAGCACATAAGCACACTGTAAAAGACAAAATAGCCTCCTCTCATCTGTAGGCTTTTTTGAAATTCTTAATGCTGCTACAGACTTAAGTATAAGGCATGAATAGTAAATTTAAATGTCAAATTAAATAAATAGGTACACATTAAAAAACAAGATAAGATGTCATAACACCAAATCTCAGCAAACCCTAGTATTTTAAAGAAAATTTTAGAAAAATCTCTACCAGCAAAAATAAATAAAATGTTAAAAATAAAGTGAGGTACCTCTTATTCACCTTAAGCTGCATATAGATATTTAAGTGCAAAATTGTTAAAGTTAAAGCTTAATTCAAATAAGACAACTGTATGCTTATTAGCTGTGGATTATGAGATGTTTATTATTTTACAAAGACAGACGAAGAAGAGAAAATTGAAAATAAAAGAAATTTACTAGAAAGGGGGTAAATGGAGTATAGCTCTGTGTAATAAAGCCCACTTATTAGATACACTAAAATTAAAGGGCTGTTCTCTTATTCTGCTCTCTTAAAAATAGCATGTTTCCAAATCCTTGAACCTCCTGACCAAAATCACTGCTGGAGCCATTCCAGTAAAGATCTCATTATCTAATGGACATTTTTATTGCAAATCTTCACAGCACATCTCTACCATACGTCTATGATCCCTCCCCCTCTTCTTGATGATGAAGCGGACATTTAACAGTGCGCGTGACAAATCATAATAATCACGTAATATTTTTTCATGACAGTGGACTGTAATTCATTAAAGGTTCTTCTCGATGTTTTATAGTTATTTTAGTCCTAGAAAAACCCTGCAGTGTTATTTGCTCTCTGATTACTCCTCTTTTTTCCTTTACAAAATAACTCTTATATAAGTCTCTCTATACTGTATAAGGCAGGTGTGATATATTAATAGAATAACACTTGTGATTTAAGAAGACAGTGAAGTGTACTTTGTTGTCAAGCATGCTGAATTCTGCTGAATGCTTTTTAACTTGCTTTCATCTTCAATGTCAAAACAAAGGAACGCTGAGAAGATTTATTAAATTGTTTTTGATGTCTTCAAAATCTCAGGATGTATTTGCATTAAGAAAGACAAGCTTTCAGGACTATTAGTATAATCTTCAATATTTATACTTACTTTTATTTTATATTCACATTTTCTCATACAATATGTGTACTCGTTTCTTTACTTAGTGATCAGTCATTATGGCAGGAGTTGATTTAGACATTTCCAAGTTACTGACTCTGATTTGCTGAAAGAGAAGAATAGCCAATGGGGGGGTATATTGCCATTCCTGTGATAGTAGGACAGAGTCTACTCTGTCTACCATCATCACAAATAACTCAGGAAGAGTGCAATATTACCAACGTACTTTCAACACCTCTCTGTTGCCACTAGAGGCAATAGTACAGAGGATCACTTACACCATTCTGGTGTAATGCCTCAAAACTCAATACATGTCTGTCCTATAAACTGTTGACATGGACTACCATGTATTTTTGTTCACTACCACATATATATTGTTCTTCTGTACATACTATACTACCACTATTATGTACTCATTTGTAATGTACAGTCTACGTCGCGTGATGTTGTCTGCTGTACTGTGCATGTCCTGAGTGAACGACACAAGTTTGAATCCCAATGTACATGTATGGCAATAAACTCCCTTACTGATACTCAGTCTTCATTTCCTCTCCTGAGGAGATTTAGGGCTGGTATTCCTCCTTCTTTTCCTATTTTGTTGATGAATCAGCAAGGAGGATACAAAGCAACCAAAAGAGCTTGATAGCTGTTGTTCTATTTTACAAAACCAGGGTTAGAGGAATAACTGAACATATATGTTCCTTTTCAAAGAGTAGCTACCAACAGAGGAGATAATATAGGAAAACCACAGAGTAGCAGGCCTAGTAGTAAATGTTGGTGTAAGTGCAGCCAAGATCCAAATGCTTAGGCATGAAGACTCAAATGCCACCCTGTTCTCTAAGACAGTGGCAATCATAAATTGCTTCCAAGAGACCAGCCTCCTTGATAACATCCAGATGCTAAAACCTCGAGAAAGTGTATGGAAAAGCCCAACTTGCTGCAGCAGTTCAAACTCTGTTAAAAAGGTTTTGTTTTATATGTATGTATTTAAAAGGCTTTTTGATTTTTTTTTTTATTTAAACTGTAAGGTGAGTGTTAGAATATTAAGATTTAATCTTCTCTCTCTTAACAAAACCATCTGGACAGTTTTCCCTTATGCCAACATGCTTCCCATTATGCCCTCGATTCATTCTATAAAAGCAGACATAAATGACAGTGCAGTCTATCCCAAAGTATGTTGGCTAAAAGAGGTACATTTTAGCCCCCAAAGAGGGGGGCGGTTTAATACGCTTACATGAACACAAATTCCTCACGCTCTCAATACAAATCCAAAATCAAGGCTAACATAATATAAAGAAAAGAAAACAGTGAACCTTAAAGGGTGGCAACACACAGCTAAATACGTTTACTTGTCATTATCTCCAAAATATTTTATATGATTCAATTGCATTTCAAACATTTGCATCTGAAAAGCAATGTCTGGAGGTCAGATACACCCAATTTCGTGAAAGGACCAAACCTGTCTGTTCGGATGGTCTCACAAATATTAAAAGAGAATAAAAAAATACCTTATTGTATTGTATTACAGTTCTTCAATTCATGGGTACATGCCTGTGTTCTGTTGCTTCTGGTTTTTCAGTACTGGAAATGCATTTTTTTCTAAATGGCTGTTTAATTAGATTAGTTGCATCTGCTCTGGAGGTACAAGGTCTGGAGATGCAGTTGAAATACAATACAAAATCATTTGGGTATCCTGAGAAGTAAGAAAATGTATTTACTATTGTACTGATAAATGTACAATAAAAACACTTTAAATGTCACTACTATCTGTTTACATTTGTCAGTATGTGTGCAGAAATTAATTCAGTGTAACATTTAACATTTTGATAAAGTACAGTACACAAACTTTCACACACAATAGAAACTCACTATGATATCAACACATGAAGGAAAAGTGCACCTTGGATTTTTAGTGGCTCTGCAAATGAAGAATTTGATGTTTGTGTTAAATACCTTATTTTGTATTTTGTACATCACAAAATGTCTGTACTGTAGTAACACTTTTATACTTTAATGTATTTAATGTACTATATATCAGTGTAGAGAGTGATTAAGAACTGCATCTGGCTTGTGGCTCACTGAAATGCCAGCTTTACTGAGATTTGATTTGCTAAACGCAAAAAAGGGCTAAACCTTTTCATGCATAATCTCCTCTGATGAAAGCTCTAATATATTTGTTTTGCTTTCAGGCATGTTGCAATTTTACAACTTAGATGACAAATTATCATAGGCAACACTAACAAGAAAATACAATAATACAATATGATTTTATACAATATAAAATCTTGTTTTTACACAATGAAGTAACATGAGGCATTCTATATTAAGATGGACCACATGTGAGTAAAACAAAGACACTGTAGAGGTTGACTTAAATAAATCACTGATTAAATCTACATTTAATTTTTAAACCAGGAAATGGTGATAAGAGTATTGCTAGCCTTTTAGTTTGTATTAATGGATGCTGAATTAGATGTGCCACTTTAGTTGCCTTTTAGTTAAAATTGCATTCTGATTGATCTCTTGGCTTTGATTTCCTGAAGAGAGAGTTCTTTAAGCTTTACACAGTATCGATATAGTATTTCAAGATGCCAATATTCTTTTTCAAAGTCTTTGATAGCTGTAATCTTGCCAAGAGATAGGACTCAGCTCGCTGCAGAGGAGTTGGCATACTGTATGCCATGTGATTCTTAAAATCACATTACAAAATGAAATTGTTTCTTGAACTTAGAAGACACACTTTTGTTTCCCAGTTAAGACAGTGAGAATAAGATAAATTTTATGGATAGTAAGATGCTTTTTAGTTACTAGTAACTAAGTTATGGGGATCTCATTCAGACGTTTTGATAGAAGCCAGGATATCAGTATAAACAACATCAATTGAGTAGCTTGTTCCAGACTCCCACAAGTCTTTGTGTATTAAAGGACCTCATGCCCTCGGTTTGAAATGCATTTTCCCAATGAAAAAAAAAAATGACCATTAACTATCAACTTTTATTAAAGGATGTAGTAAGCACAATAAATGCAACAATGCATTTTTTTATTATCTGGCAAATGAAAAAGCTAACCATCTGTTCACTGTTGAACTTCATGATTGAAATGAAACCACTGCCCCACAGAGCACACATTGAAGGCCTCATACTGTAGGTAATGCAGTGAAATTAAAACATTAAGAATTAATGACTAGATTATGATTAGATTTTTGGCATGTATTGTATTCTATTTGTTCATTTCAAATCACTTGTATAAAGGTACACTTCTGATGTGTTAATTAAAAATATAAGTCTTCAGCCTTGTATCATGCCTTTTGATGTACAGTACTTCAAATTGTACTGACACTAACTGAAGCTCTTAGACACGTGCCGAGTTAAAGGTATTAGGAGTAAACATACCTTGATGGAAAAGAATGGAGATTAATTATTGTTATGCATTAACAGAAAGGAAGTGTCAAACCTTGTGTTACCCTGTGTTACACTATGTTACCTTATGCATACTCGAGTCTCTTGATCCCAGAATAAACTGAGTATCAAGAGAAACTTAACCATTTATAAAAGGTGGAAGCAGTACAGGTAAGTGTGTACTGTATAACAGCGAAACATGGTTTGAACCATTTGAAGCTTGTGTGACTATCTATCATTTTTCTTTTTCTTATTCCTTTTCTTCCATGGAGCATGAAAAAAAAACATATAACTGTTCTCTAGTCTCTGAATCCTGGATACTACTGTACATGTCACTCCACCTCATACCATAAATGTTAATTGGAGCCCAGGCCTGGCACCCACAATGTAATTGTTACTTTCACATCTCCACAGAAAGCCATTGTTACATGAAAGGTGTTAGAGTGTGTATTGTCCAGCTGGAATGTTGCCATGTCTGACTGATCCCACAGGTACTGTAGGGCAGCAAGTGAAGTCCTAGAACTAGATCAATATACTGTAGCCCTGTGAAGTCAGGTTGTCATCAATCGCTACAAGTGGAGCTCTGTAGACACTCCTGCCTAGACCTTCAAACATGGACATCCCTATCTATTGATCTGTTATACACAACAAATAGTGTATCATTCTGCACATGTGTGGTCTAATATGTATAAACAGTATGTACATGGGTGGTCTAATGAATCATTAAAAATGACTTGGCTCACAAACACTCAAACAGTCCCACAGGTGCTGGCACTTGTTTCACACCCGGGCAGCCTGTGTTAAACTCACTCACCGAGGCCCATTCAGTTATACCTGGCCATCCTGCATCAAACAGAAACGCTCGTTCAAACACACCTCAGGCTAATGTCTGTGGGATCACGGGAGCTTTAGTCCCTTGGACCCTTCTCCTTCAAAAAAGGGCTATCTTTTCATATCATCCATTTGGTGTTACTCACTGTCCATGTGTCTGATGTTACTAGACAGGCCATTTAAATAGGAAAGCTCACAGCTCCAATAAATGCATCAGCTCACTGCCATCCCAACAGAGCACTAGCTAATGGTCTGTCACATTTTGTTCTACAATTCCATGCACAAAGAGAGTAATTTATATAATCTTTTTGCTGCTTTTATTCTGAAGATTTAAAGCATTATACAAATAATATAGCATATACAAAATGAAAACAGAGCAGTGATTTAAAATCACTTTAGATTTGTATACCTTGTTTATGGTGAATGAGTGCCAATCCATTACCTTACATGTACAGGTATTGTACAGAATATGAATCTGCTACAGTATAAAGTGTAAGAGTTAATAAACAATATACAGTAGTAGAGAGCTAATACATCACAGGTGCTGTCTAAACATACTGTATGAGTCATGAACAGATGCTGAAAAGTGGTCAGGAACTAGGAAGTTTTGATTTCTGACGGTAGTTAATTTTACTACTGAGGAGTGCGGAGCCAGTCCTTTGACTGGATGAAGAAAGAAACGGGTTGTGGGAGTAGGAAGAAAGGGAGGGATTACAGAACATGTGGTAGAAGACAGGTGTAGGAAGAGATAAAAAACTGAAGGTATCCCGGGAGCATAGTGTTTGAGAAAATGTTATGCAAAATCTGGGATTTGAACCAAATGCAGTGTTGTATGCAGCACTAGTGAGTTAGTGGAGGAAATGTAGTAAATGATTAGCATCATAAAATTGAGGGAGAGGTTATGTTTTTTAATATTTAATTTCTACTGTATAATTTATTTTGAATTAAGTACTTTTTGTATAAATAATTTAATCTAGCAATGACTACGCAATATTACCTTCCTCTAGCTTACAAGAGACCCTTCCCACAGTTGAATTATGGAGCTGTATTGCTTCCACAAGCCGCGGCTCATACCCTTTACAAATAGAATATCTTTCCTTGGTCTGGTAATTGCAATGATTGGGTGACACACACGGTATTGTGTCACTGATGAATTCGTATTGACTGGTGTTTTTCAATTGCGAGAATTGTTGACTAAGCAATTGATACCAACCAATTAGATTTACTGCGGTGTACTGTTAGTGGAACTAAAATTGCTTTTATTTAAGTGTATGTAGCAATTTGTCATTTATGACAACTGTGATACTTTACTGTAATGATAATGATGATTATTATTATTGTATTAAGTTAGAAATTACTCTGTAATCTGTAAACCTGTACAGTATACACTAGTTAAGTACATTGTGCCTTATTTTCATTGATTGGTGAATGATTCAATAAATTAATGAAAATATTAAAAATTATTTTATAATGATTAAACAAATAAACATATCAAAACCGTCATTGCGTTTCCTTAAGTAAAGATATGTGATGTGTAATAAACCTTTTCTCTCAGCAGAGTATTGAAAAGATGGAAAAAAATGGCAAAAACAAGGTCCCAGTACGTGTGAAGATGCACGTTATTGCTTTCTGCGAGCACTTGGTAAAACTGATGATAGTGTGTGATCACAGATCACATACAGTTTTACCCTCTTTGATAGCATATAAATTGCAGCACCTCTGGGAAAGTGCAGCATGTGCTGTAGATCAAAATCCTAGTGTATCTGTGACTTGCAATTACTACGGAATTTGTTTTCAAAGAAAATCCACTTTATTTTCCACAAACAAAGCTTATATTGAATGTACCACAGAGCATGATTAGTTAATTGGTTCACAATCATTTGAATAAGGTTATCTAGTCTTGTATTATATCATTTACTTCAGAGTTTATAGGCTGTAATACTGGTAAGAAAGTGACAGCTAACAACTGAAGATATTTATGGTGCTTACAGTGGTGTACCAACTGATACCTCTTGCATTCTAGATGGCAGCATCTGTAGGTTTAGCCAAACAATTAAGTAACCACAGAGTGTGACTGGTATTACTTAAAATATTCAACTTGTCACAGGAATGGCAAAATGAGAAACATCAAAGACTTCCTCTTGTCTTTTTTAAAAAAAAAACTAGAAATCTACATGTATCTTGAGTGTTGTTAAAATCAGCTGGATTTTCTCAACAACATACAATATATGCAAACATATTATGTTTAAGGTATAATTATAATTTACTTTGTGCAAGGTACAATATATTTTACTTAAAACATGTGTTTTTCAAAAGTAATTTGTGAAGTAAATTTCCCTTCTGATTATGTTTTATTTTCATAGGTTCTACCAAGTGCGAGTTGGTTTGAAAATATCATCACGTGTTCCACATAGATTAATAACAACGATACCAGGAAATACAGGTAAAGGGGTTGTCTTTTGTTTTATCGGGTTTTACATTCCCTCATGTTGTGAGTACAGGGCCCTCAGTTCTGTTGCCAATTACAGTTTTCTTAACAATTTATTTAGCAAAGCAATACCTGATTTTCATGACTGCACCATTTCATATTAGTCTTAATTAAAATTATGAGTTTCTGCACAGACCAAATAAGTGTCTAACCCACATGACTATAAGGCTGGCTTCTGATGTACAGTTGTAGGAATTGCAAGCAATTGTTGCTGCAGGCACATTCAACATTTTCCCTTGAAATCTGCAACAGTTCTGATTACCAAATCAGGTCACCTCATTACCTCTCAATTTGCCAGTTAAGTCAACCCAGGCAGTCTCTGCACAGTCCATTAATTATGTAAGTACATATATACAGTAGTGTACACACACTGTGTGATTCTCTCATAAATACTGCAGCAAAAGCATTGCAGAAATATACAGTATTAACTAAAACCTTTTTTGAGTTTTTGAAGGAATATACAAAATATAAAGTTAATTTTTGCTTAAAGCAAACACAGATTTGTTGAAATATAAACCTAATGATGTTGTGATAGTTTGATAATGATATCTGAATTAATTTACTAAAGTACCTTATATTCATTTTTATGTTCTGGATTTTATAATATAGAGGTATTTATTGCTGTATCATTCCCTTCATCCTCCACATCTTCCACTGACTTTAAACTACTGGAGTCATTTAAATTCTCCCTATGATACAGTATCTTGAACTTTATGCATTTTTATTTCTTATCACCTGTTCTATTTCATTTGGTATCTCTGCTACACTAAATGCAAAGTCTTACATTTGAACTGCATTATTAACCAGCACTGATGTTTTCTGCATTCAGACCTTGCAAAATAGCTACTAAATCTTTTTTTTATTTTTTCCCTGAAGCCCACGGCTTGTATGGGCTACAAGCTACAAGCCTTTGCTCCACCTGGCTTGGCAGTGAATCAGGCTATTATGCGTGACCAGTTCTGTATCACTCCATACAATGTTGGCTGGGAAAGGACCATAATGAGCTCATTGTACAGTATGTACATGCCTGTAGAAAACCAGCAGTCTATTTGATGTGTGAAATGTATATTTTAGTGAAGATAATAACAAACGTATCACACATTCTTTTGGTTAAGAGTAATTTGGCCACTCTGTAATTATCATGAAGATTGTGATCATTTGTAGGACCTTGAAAAATCCTTGGAATTACAGTACAACACATGTTCAGTTTTTTCTGAAGTCTCAATCACCTAAGTGAATGCCTTCATTGTGAAATCAAATGCAGCCAGTTTGTTTCAATTTGACAGTTTTAGATGTTCACAAAACTGAAAACAACATACAAGAGGATGGTAGGAACTTTTGCTCTTAAAGTTATTTTAAAAGGACTGCAGACATGTGTCATTGAAGGCTTTACTTTCACATTGTTTTTTTAAATTGATTCACCATTTTAAAAGGAGTTTTGAAATATTTTTCCAGCACGATACATTAGACACCTGTTGTTGATATTTCTTATCCAACATTTTTAAACATCCATATTTGTATGTTTTATTGCTTTGTAGACTTGTAACGGTGGTTTTGCTATTACTAGTTTAGCAGGAAAAAAGACTCACCTTCTCCTCAAAATCTTGTGAAACTATTGTATTTAAAAAATAAGTAGCAGATCTAATTTGTTACTGCTTTAATTAATTTAATTAAAGCACTTTCCAAACAATTAAATGTAGTTAATTGATGTATTTTTATCAGAATTCAGTCTCAGAGTTGCTAAAAGTAATTATCATTATTTTCTGTGTTTATCAGCCTTACCCTGAGTTCAGGCAAATAAACAAAGGCATCATTCTGAATGGTACACAGCTGTTTCCTCTCAGAATTTGTGTTTCTAATCTTTGCTCTTGAAAGCAGCAGGAAGAACATTCCTAATTGCAAGACTTCTGTCCATGTCCACATTCGTCCATGTGAATTGTTTTGTTACAACTCAAGAAAATACGACAGATGTAGATGTCAAGAAATAAGAACAAATAAGAACAAAATAATGAAAAAAGTTATTTGGAAGTACTGTCTGCTTTATACAATATGCAATACAGGGTCTCAGGGGTGCCGGAGCCTTTCAAGTATCAGATGAAGGGCAGCATACAACCTAGTCCAACACATGGGGATTAACATGGGCAAAACATACAAATTCCAGATTAGATAGCAACCCAGATCCAGAATTAAAACCAGGGCCTCAGCACTGTGATGCAGCATTTCTAGCCACTGCACGACCAGCTTGCCCAGTTATGAGTGCTACAAACTACAAATTATTTCAGATATGTAAGAATGTAGATTTAAGCTACCTGGAATGCAATGCAAAATAAGTGTGATTCTGACAGTAACTCGTGTGTCATATTAACTTTTCAACTTGATATACAGTATACATTACATAATCTCATGTATTTTAATTCAGTTTTCATTACACTATAAGATTCCACAGAATTCAAAATAATTACAAACCTACAGTCATGGAAATATAAGAACTATTTTATGTTTCCACCAAACCCAAATAAACAACAATTATGAGTTTAAAAAGCACATACTGTAACTAAACATGAAGACAAGTCCGAAGATAGATTTCAAGCTGATGTCTAACACATACACTGTTCCCAATTAATCAAAAACAAATGGCATCAAATTAGAAAAGGTCATCATTTGGATGTATTTGGATGCATCAGTGCTATTTCTTTATGACAGCATAACTGAAATAAAACAGCTGATATTGGACAAAAGTATGTACTATTTCAACAGTGAAATTACAATTTATGCTTAGAATTATGTTTTTGGCCATTGCATTTTGCTTATATTAATATAAAAAATGGATGCAAAACTTGGATACTGATTGCAATAATAATACAGAAATTACAAACAAGCCAAAGAGGCATGTAAAGTTTAGGCTTGGAAAACAAGAAGAGACAGAAAGAAACACATTTGTTACAATGCAAAACAATATATTACATCATTGTAAGAAGAGACTAAAAAGATAGCGGTTCAGGCACTTTGCAAAAAGATTATACAGTACTATGATTGGTCAAAGGAAATGCACTTGTTCATAAAACTGACCATGAGGAAGACACTCTTGCTATGGCAAGACGAAGTAAACAAGATATACAGTATATACAGTATAATAGACATAATGGCTCTTGATTTTGAAGTAATGATATCAGTCAGATACAGCTGAAAAGAGCATAACATCACTGAATTTATGAAAAGGGATTAAAAATACTGATTCACTCTTGTATCCTCTTTTCTTTGCATTATTGTAAAAAGGAAACTATATTAACCATGAACAGTATGCACACATCCTCACAAGCCAACATCTAAAAGTCTAACAGAGAGGCGTCCTGATCTCGTTTGCATGGTGTCAGAGGAATGTTCAGGTTGCCTCTGGTGCGTCAGTCCCAGCCCAGGTGTCACGATAGCATGCTTATATTTATTTTTGTAACTTTCAGTTTTCTGGTGACAGTATTATCAGTCCGTTCGGAAATCTGCCTAGATCAACAGATTTTCATCAGAAAGAGAAACGATTGAGAGGTACTTTACTGTAGTGGTTATTGATAGATGAGTAATAATATTTTTTCAGCACCCCCAGGAGAGCACTTAGACCCAGACAAAATTTATCTCTGTAACTTTTCGTTGTCTTGAATATTTGCTTGGAGAGGTTCTTTCAGAAATGTTATTAATTCCAACACATTTTTCATCAGCCTGGGCTCTTTGAATCTATGGCATGAAATGTTTGGTTCTGGGACAGACAGTATACAGTCTGACTCCTTGTGAATAATATTTTTCCAAATTTTGAATTCACCACCTCTCTTTGCCTCAACAGGTCTTTTTGTTGAGTGTCAATCACTATGTGAATATCTGTGCTGCTTTTATAACATTTTAAACCAGGACATACTGCATTATTTTGCGTTTTTATTGTGTATCATTTCACATACAATATTAGTATTCATCAATTAGAACTGGAGGACTAACATTTTTTCTGTATTTTATTAACAGTTTCATTTTACAGGCAGATTAGTGCAGTCATCAGTTATGCAGTGTTGTAATGTTAGAAAATAATAAATGTTCATAGCTACTTACACAAATATTTATTTTGCTTAATTCAACAGTTCAGATGCTTACTGTTATTATTAGTCTGTGTAAGGATTTCAGACTTTGAATGAAACCATATTCAGATGAAATATGTCTGTTTTTTCTGTGGGAATGTAAGAGAATTAGACTTTTTTCAATTTAAAAAGAATGAAAAAGGTAAATAATACCTGAACAGCACCTGTTCAACAATTGTAAAGCATTGCACTTGCTAATATGAAATAAAGTACTTCAATTAAGAATAGGGCTCAAAGTACTCAGGAACACATGCGCTTTGTGAACACAATAATATATGACACATATTTCATTTTTTCATACTCTCTATATGTGTAAAAGGAATTGGTTCCAGTCGATTTTCATTATTTTTGCGTACCAAGTGACGAAGTCTCTAGACATAAAAATATTCACCATGATTGCTATTGTAAGACCTTTGTTTTTGTCACATGTGTATGAACATAAAAGAATAACAAAAACAATTTTAAAAAACAGAAATTCACTATATTTTTTCTAACCAATTTCTTGGATGAGAAAATAATCTGAACACATTCACTGCAACACTCATGACTGAATATATCTTGTGATGGGGTGGGAAATTGTTGTGTACTTTTCTGGATACTGTATACTGTATGTAAATCAATATAATCTGTTGAATAAAATGAAGAAAATCCATTAGATAACTGATGACAGTGCAGTCATAATTTAATAATGTGTGTCTTTGCTTAAGCTGTAATGAAATAAATGACGTTTAGCTTAAATTAATTCAGAAGATGTATGGAAGACTGATAAATCTCTTCCTGTATAATACAGTACCAGTTACCAACATTTCCCTTGAAAGCTTGGTTTGAACGGAGAGACTGAATTCATACAGACCACATCTCGCACATTGAAAATACAGCAGACACAAATCTTAATTGCCTCCTTGGTAACAGCTTGATTATGTCTTAAGAAATTGACATTATGCCCTTCTCTCCATATAATGGACTTTTTACAATGAAGCTTGCAGAACCCAGATTTGGCTCTCAGGATTTTAACATAAGTAAATATAAACTAAGGAAAATACAATGACCAACTTCATTTAGGCACTGTTTACTTTTAAGAGAGCTCTATCTAATGTAATTTTGAATTATGGTAGTTCCTTTCTTTTGGAGAAGAAAATAACAAATGTTGATCAGCTGGTATCTGGGGATGCTTGCAAACAAGCAGCATTAGAGGTTAATATTCATAAATCTGGTCTATGTGTAACACTCATTAGCAGGAATAATGCACAAGCTAGCAATAAGTATTTAATAAGAATGAATATGAATGAGTGGTTGTTCTTTATCAAGAATAACCTCTAGCTGTTGTTTTATAGTTGGAGTTCACTTTGAAGGTGACATATTTGTTTTTTTCAATAACAAAAATAGTATCTTTGATGTATTTGCCAGCGGACTAGAGAAACACTTGAATATTCTGACATACTGTATTATGTCATATTCAGACACTGTATGTACTTCAGGCATATGAGCATATACTCTTCGATGTTGATCAGTAGTGAAAATCTCACATCTAATAACAACTCATCGTAATTGAAGTATCAGTGGAATATTCATTTAAAGATTTCACGTACTGTTGTTACTGGAATCCAGAAGTCCTTTTTAAGTCACAACATACTGTACTGTACTGTTTTAGGGAATATCAGTTAAGGACAGAATCTTGTAATGATCATCTTTTGGCCAAGCTCATATAATTGAAAAGGTGTTTTTTGGCAGCAGTGTCTCTGAACTTTCTCTAGGATCACATGCTGTACAATTTAATTGCTATCTTATTTGAATGTGTGCAATGCTCATTTAATACTATTTAATTAAACCTAATGTGAATTGAAGTATTTTGAATGTATCATAAGTTTAACATTGTTGTGTCAGTGGTATGATATTTGACAAATGGAGGACAGGTCTGCAACCTCAGTTGTCCTTATGTAGATCAGTATTTTAATTGGGAGCCAAAACTGCAATATGCCCTTTAGTCTGGAGACTCTTTTCACAAGAATTATGTCTATAGTCATGAATTAGCTATTGTGCTGGTTCTAGCAAGGTAAACATTTTAAAATGAGAGGACAGGAAATGAAGAATGAATATTGGAATTTTTGGAGTGTGCTTGACATTTTAATTTTGCAGCCTAATGGAATATATATTTTCTTAATCTCCTCTTTCAAATAATTTATCAAAATCAAAACAAGTCCACATCACATGATACAGTATATAGGCCATGCAGCACATGACTACAGGCCTATTGTCTTTAGTCTGGCCATACACTTGACTCCCTTTAAAACCACTTTAAATAAATGCATTATCTGACTCCTAAAAATTTATTCCTGAAATTAGGAAGGTCTTAAAGGAAAGAAAAATATTTTTTTTCTGAAATGAGCATATTTTGAGGCACTGTGTATTGCGATGTCTGAACACCTATGAAGCTTGCTAAAGACCCAATATTCAATTGTGCATGTAAATGCACTGATTATACTTCTGAATTCCCGATTGCATGAAAAGTAACTGAGATTAAAACGTAAAATAAACAAAGGTGTCTTCTGTGATCAATTTTATTGGTATATACAAAGTCATAACTTTTCTAGACTTTAACCAAAATAATTTCATACAGTTCTTTTGAGATCATCATATTCTTACCTTTTTCAGTGTTGTTAGTTGACTCTCTCATTCCTACATTACTTTTGTTTGTCAATTATAAAATACAATAATATTGCCCCTTGTGGTTTCAATGTGTACTGTAGTCTTCTGCACAGTGATTTCTGAAACTGCTTTTGAGATAACCATTTCACTAGTCTTAATTTGTTGTGTCATTCATTTTTCAATAGGACATTAGATAATGACGATAATTGCAGTCATATCTGATATATTCATATAACTTCACTCTCAAGGGCCATTTAAAATGTTGTTAAAGTTGTGCATTGAGATATATACTGTATGGGACCAGGAAAAAATGTAATGTGCCACTATAAGTGAAATCTTGGTTTACCCTTTGTGCTCATTGTATACTAAAGTCTTCTGAAAATGTCAAAGGACTAGTATTTTGACATCAACAAAAATGTATTACTATAATTATCATTATCCTGGATGGCTGCATATACCAATAATTAAAATCAAATTGTATTCCTGTCTTAGGCAATATGGACACTTTTGACATAAATGCCTTTTCTCATTGTATCACCACTGTAGGTAAAAGCATTATTAGGATTTGAGTAACCGATTAAGATACTCAAGATTATTAAGTCAGTTTCTTTCATCATAAATTGGTCATTTAATTGAATTAAGACTCAATTTTTAATCAAGAAATTATAACTTTGTGTAGCCTAAGTATGCCCTGTAGGATTAATCAATGAGCAAGTTATTGTTCATTTCCTACTCTAATTATATGCTTGTGACAACTGCATAGAGATACACAGACAAATACTGTACACATTTAGAAATGAGAAATTAATGGTCAAAAACAAAAAAAGTTGATTAGATTTCTAAAAAATCAATATCAAAATAATGGTAAATGTTTAATGCAAAGCAATTGTTAAGAGTTATGTTTAATTACATTTTGGTGAAGCCACAGCTAATTTATTGATGAAAAGCAACATCATGTACAGTAAAAATTATGATTTCTGTTTCCCGTGCAAACTTTGTTCCAGTTTTCTGGAATGATTCAAGTTCAAAGCGTTCAAAGCTATAAATCTATCAATGGTGACAAAACATAATGGAGAATGGGGAAAACAACCAAAAGATGTGGCTGAAAACTTGCCTAGCCAAAAGATTATTTATGTTTTGACAAAACAATGAAGGAAGGAAGCATTTTACATGTGGAAACGCCAAAAGCAAAAGTACTGTAGGTGGCTAGGATGAAAAGGTATTGAGGTGCTAAGGTGCCAAGCCATATAGATTTTGATTTTGACTTGAAACAAAGGTATCGAACAGCTTTTCTGTTACAATCTGGGACAACAAAGGAAGTAGTCTGGCAATATTTCTGAGATGGCTGAGTTGAAAATTGTCATGATTAACAATGTGAAAAGCCACACTTTTCTAGAATTAGGTCTAGAATTAGGATAGAGAATCAGAATCAGCTGCCTTAGGACGATCATTAGTAACTTTAACAAGGACATTCATTCTTTGCATCTCTTAAACTGTTTTTGGAAATTCACAGGAATTTCATCGAAAAAAAGATTACCCAAATCAGTAGAATTACTATAGCACCAAAACCATTCAGGGGAAACAATGTTTAATTCTATTCTCAGATAAATATAATTTTGCTCTTGATCCACTGTAAATGCCATTTAGTGATGAGGGTTGTTATCTCATATAATACCAAAACACCCTTGATAGTCGTTGAAAGAGGTCAAATCAATTACTGATTTTACTATCCGGCAGTAAGACTTTAATTCTTGCAGGAAAAAAAACATGAAATAGCTGCTAATATATTCAGTAACTGGGTGAAACATCTTCACACATTAGTGATTTAGAAGATACAGCTAAAGCCCCCTCCCCCAGATGAATAAAGATTTAGGATATACAGTATATCAGATTTAATTGACATGGCTTGAGGAACAAGAACTGATTAAAGTGGAAAACAATCCCGCCCCACCTGCTCTAAAATGCTCTAAAAAGGAATACTGGAAAGGAAAGTCTGATATCCTATATTTATTCCCTAGAGAATAGATACAATAGTTGGAGGTAGTTCTGGTTTGTCCTTCTCCTTTGAACTCTGTTATTTCAAACTTGGAAATGCTAACAGTGGATATACCTAATATGATTAAAATAATGCATGGTGTTGCATTTGTGTTGTGCATCTGTATAATTTAATCTTATTTTACTTTATTGTTTTCTTCCTAGGTGAATCTAGCTCTACCTCTGCATGTGTCCTTGACTGTACTGTGCTCAGCAAGATATTTCAGATCTTGTACAGGAATGAAGAAATTGCGGTTAATGACTCTATGAACTTCAAGGTTCACTTGCTTCTGGATGGTGAAAGAGTAAGCCACTCATTAATCTATAGCCCTTCTAGTTTTTAGAAAAAAAAAAAACAGCTGCATTTCAAAAAGATAACAGCTTTGAATTGTTTCTTATTACATTGTGCACAAAAGCAAATTTTTAAAAAGATAAACATTTTATGTTTTTTTTGTGACTTTTTGTGGTGCAACAATAGTTATCATCTCAGTTCTTCACATCTTTGGAGAGATTATTTCTGCATTATCTTCATTTTTTTTGGCCTTTTAAAACTTAACATTAAGAATAAACAGATAAATATAAAGATAAATACGGTATTTCAAAATTACTCCTAGTTCATTACATAGGGAAATTGGATTATTTGTTTGACAAAGATGCCTGTTGTTTATTTTTGCAACAATTAGATGATGTTGTGGTATATTATGCTTCAGTTTTCTTTTCATTAAAGCTCTTTAATTGACTTCCAATTTCTAAATGGGAATGCTTGAGTCCAGCATTAGAGGTGATAGTACATCTCATTACTGTTTTTTTTAATTTGCTTCAACCTGTCTTTGACTTTATTAACACTAAAATCTTGAAATATGTGTTTACTGTATGAATGAATATAATATAATATAATATAATATAATATAATATAATATAATATAATAAATGTAGGGCAGTGTACCCAATGTGGACCCTTTTGTTCTAACTTGAGTGAGATCCTTCACCCCAATTGCTCCAGTCCACTCAACTGTATGTGTATCCAATGTACCACTGGAACCAGCTGTATTAGCTTGTGCTTGTTGCAGTGCTGCCGATGCAAGAAACGCCCGGGGACAGTACTTCTATGCAGGAATGTGTGTCTCTAAGTTCTACAGCTGTAGTCAGTCAGTGGTCTGAGAAGTAACAGCTGTAGGTGGCATTATACTGTACTTATACTGTACACTGCCCTTAGTGTGTGCCTTCCTCCCTTGAGAGAGAGAGGCAGGACTGACAGATAGCAGGGAATGGTCCGTTGGTAGCAGCATGCTGTGAGGCTGTATTGCTCGGTATGTGTAGCATATGGGAAGTGGTATGGGAAGTCAGCAAGGGATGCAGGCTGCAGGTTCCACCCGGATGGGTAATGAGTGAGATCTAGGGACACGGAGGGGATTCATTTGAAAAGCAAGCATTGTAAAACAGTCATTTTCTGGAGACATGACGCAGGAGTGTGGTCAATGTTAACACTACCAACAGGAAGCCAAAGAGCAAACAGTTTGGGCACCACACCACAGATCAACACCAAAGGAACTCTGATAAATACACAGAGAATCTGAGAGCTCCTAATTAGGGAAAGAGCTAAAGAAGTTTCCAAATTAGAAGCACACTTTGCTGTTGTTGTGTTTATGAGAGTGAACGGCTCAGCAATCCTATGTTTCATCCCCAAGCATGGAAGGTCAGAGGATAAAAGCTAGTGCTGAGGCATGAAAAGAAAGTACCTGTATGACATGCTCCTAAAGACAGCGTAACTTGACAGACAGATCTTTGAACCTGGGAAACTGCAAACAAAGGGCTCAAAAATCTTTAGTTGAGCCTTGCTCCAAAAGACAGTGTAAAAATATCTGGAGTCACCCTGCTTTAGTACCAGAAGCCTCAATTCTTGCACTTTTCCCAAAACAAGGTGATAATATAACACTACTCTTGGAGGAGAGTGCATGCAAAAATAGGATATGAGCTCAAATATAGATTTTCCTGGTGGTCTGTGGTAGGGTGTGCTAACTGAGTAGTTTGGTCTGGATCACTACCCTTAGTGTGAGCTGCCTCATGTCGTATCACATTGTGCATGGTTTATTCACAAATGTCATTTTTGATGTTGTTCCATGTATTAAATTAAATTGTTTAAATGAAATATGATTGAACTATATGAATAATGCAATTCTTTGTAGCCTTTTACCTGTATTATTTTCTTTAATAGGTAGAAGAAGCACTGAGTGAAGTAGATTTTCAACTCAAACTAGACCTGCACTTCACTGACAACGAACAGCAGTATGTAATTGTTTCAGTTTCCTGGACATTAGGCAATTGTTTTCCCACAGCCTTTCACACTTGGAAAGTTTCTTTCCATATCATAAAGTATTTTAAAAAATAAGTTCCAGAACAGAGTAGATGTTTTAGGCAGTTTTAATTTAAAACATAGCATATAGTATATTTGTTTTGTGTTATGAATGCAGCAGTCCCTGACCCCAGAGATATGGGGAGGGATGAAAAGGAGGCAGCTCACTGTCTTCAGTATTTACTGGATTTTTTTCATAAAACATTTTCTGCTCAAATTCTGATCATACTACTGGAATAATAACAAATAACATGACGAGAAATCATACAGAATTCAAAGAACCTCTAGTGAGACCAAACCTATAGCTTTTTTTTAATTCAAAACAAAACTAGGGCCCTGATTTGTTCTGAATGATAAGACCAATTTAAATGATAAAATCAATAATAATTTAGAAAAAAGTATCTGTTTTCATTATTTTCATCAACAGACTAGTGGTAATTTAACATACTCAGAAGAGATGAGATATCAGTAGTTTGGCCATAAAAATGTCCCTTAGTTTCCATTTAAATCCTGTAGTTCATATTTAATTCTTTTTTAATTACTGTATATTGACCACACAATGTTTAAGCCAAACTTAAAATAATTTTAAATTACTTAAATAATTACAGAAATGATTCCTTTAGACATACAGTAGAGTTCCTATCTTCTGTTCTTGTTTTATAATTATTTTTATGTTGTACTTGCATAACTTAATGCATTATGCTGAAATCAAAACATTGTGTTTAAAGCACCCTACAGTACTGTATGTAGCTTTCACATTATGTTAATGTTACAATTCAGTAAAATAATTTTCAATGGAAATCCCCTTGAAAAGGTGACAGCCTTTTTATTATATACAGTAATAATATGTAAATTAATCTATATACAGTATATGCCAATACTTTTAGAAAATAAATGAAACCTTACAGAGAAGGATAATTTAGATATTTAATACATTTTGTGCATATATATATCATATATATATCTTTCCCCTTCACTTGTTTCTCTTACATTTCGTAGTTACCTGATTTCAAACGAGATGCACCAATATCAGAGCAGAGGTAACATTTAGTACCACACACTTCCATCCTCTCCTTTTCCATTTTTAGCACCTAGAGTAACACATTGAAAGGTTGAGTAGTTCCTTGCCAAGCTCGGCACAATGTGCCAGAATCCAAGCACTCTGTTTTGATTATCGTTCCTGGCCATTACCAGTTAATGATCTGTATCTTTAAAAGTAAGATACTCTGGCACCGGGAGATAGTCTGGTTTTGGCCCATTAGCATTTGAAAAAAAAAGAAAATTGACATTTCCATGTTGACTTGGCAAACGAAAAGACCGTCTGCTTGTGAATGACACATCACACTGTCAGAATCCCAACAACAAGGTTGTTCATTTCTGCCACAAATCTTTAAAGGCAACGAGGTATCCACTCTTTCCAGTTCTAGAGTTATGATTTTTAGTGACAAATCTTAATATTTTACTTTTAATCTGAGAAGCAGGGAATTGTATCACTTTACCCATTATAATGAGTTTTCTTGGTTGAATTTACAGGTTGAATGATATTTCTTCAGTCCCTCTCATCAGCAGTCGGACACTTGGTCTGCACTTCCACCCACGGAGAGGCCTGCACCACCATGTCCCGGTTATGTTTGACTACTTCCACCTTTCTGTTATATCAGTCTCCATCCACGCTTCACTGGTTGCCTTACATCAACCATTGATCAGGTAGCATAACTCAGCACCATAGATTTGAGCAACATGCAAATGTAACTTTATATTTATGTGCATGTTTTCCACAGTTCTTATATTTTTTGTTTGCATTACTATATTAGATTTATTTGTACCTACTGTAACAATTACTACAGTAGCCTTCAAGAAAAAGAAAGTCCATTTGAAGTTCAGTATTTATATCTAGGGTGATACTCCATCAGATGGACACATAATTACATTAATCCGATTTTTTTCTTCTTATTTTTTATGGGATTAGTAGCATGCTTTGTCAAAAAAGATGCATGTGCAAATTTCATTATAAATTGTTGCCTGCAGGCATTGAAATGTCTCCTAAGAAAAAAAAAGTAACCTGCCTGCTATAAATAAAGGCTCTCAGTTGGAGGGTTTTGTTGTCGGCCCTACAGAATTCCCAAGTCTTTCATGTACCACAAATCAATTTGCAATATAAGGACAAAGTACTGTTTACAGCTTATAAAAAATAACCACTGAAATAGAATCCTTTTGTCAATAAGGAATTAATTTATCAAATGTTGAAAGAAAATGGAGAGATTCATGCCAGCTCTTCTTGCCTGTAAATAGACATGATGGAAAATCCTTACAACTGGAAATATTCCAACACTTCAGCATGAAAGGATTGGTGTGAAAATGTCCTAGTATACAATATTAAAAGAAAACAATGTTATTATGACAGAGGGATTTCTAATGTCGCTTGAACAAAAGAACCAAAACTTTTGCTGTACTGTATGTTAGTATGTTAAGACACATATTCTTCAACTTCTGATTGATGAAATCTATTATAAATTTAACAGAACACATCTCATGAAACAACATCTTGTGACTTTTGCATGTTAGCTTTGAGGATACATGTACATTGAGATTTGTGCAGAAGTGCAAATGTCAAGTGCCTATTCTACAGTAGATGTCCAGGTCTTGAGTAAACAAAATCGGAATCATTTTGTAAAACAGTATTTTGGTACTAGGAGGCTTCTGGATTGCTGTTTTTATTGGACAAACTGTTTGAAGGATGATAGGACTATTGTTTGTGTTCTCCACCTAAATGTGTCTGTCAGCCCCCTCTAAATCTGAACTCTTTGTAGAGTGCTGTCAGTGAACATATCGGCACTTTAACCAAGCATGTGTGTGGTATTGTCTGCATCCATCATCATTATAGACAGGTCATTACTTCTTGTGGGTAGGGCAAATAATTACTTCTCCTTGAAAAATAGTCTCATATACTCCCCAAAACAAAACCCCACAGCATTTTTAAGTGATACAGTATCTTTGTAACTGAACCAGCTTATTAAATTCTATCTACATTTACTTTTCTCAATTAAATATTGCTCATTCAGAATCCTGACTATTTAAACAAATTGTTTTTGTTTTTATGGCATCTAGAACATTGTTTTGTTGTGTTTTTTCTTCTTTCAGTTTTGCTCGTTCAGGAAAGAGCTCCTGGCTGGGAAAGGGCTCTCCAGAAAATGGAACAGATCAGTCTGCTATGTCGTTAGAGAACCTCATGTTTGGGGCTGGATACTGCAAGCCTGTTATAACAGAGGTAAGATCTTAGCACCAGTGTACTGTAGCTCATAATAAATATTAAAAGTTCCTGACCCATTTTTCCTTTCATAGAATGGAAGATTGGATCAGCTAGGAGCACTGAGTTGTACAGCAGTGTCACAAGATGAATTATCATCAAATTAGTTGTAACAAGCAACAGGAACTTACTCTATTCCTCTAAAATGAATGCCACATTAACACATTACTGAACTCAATATTTCTCTCTCCAACCCAAAAATGAAATATATTATATTACTAAACTCAATTTTATTTCTGCTTTACAGTTTACACATGATTGCCACTTTACAAAGCTCTTGATGTAGCATTTTACAAGAGTCTTTCAACATATGCAAATCTAATAGTCGATTGACCAAATTTAAAAGGTTTGTGCTGTTGGTTAAGGACCTCTGAAAGATTAATGTCTGAAACAAAATGGGGTTGAACGGGTCTTCACTTCACATGGGAGCAAGGTACCTCATCAGTCAAACACCAGCCCAGCATAACGACAACACTATTGAGGAAGATACAGTGTCCAGATTTTTCATCAGTGCTGTACAAACATTACTAACATGGCTTTTTTAAATTCTAAGATCTCAGCGTGTCCTAATGTAACTAGTTTATTATTTTTCCCATGTTTACAAAATAAAATAATTGCATTATTTCTATAATAAAAATATAAAAGCTAAATTTGTGAGAGTTTTATCTTAAAGAGGTCATGCAGAATAATATTCAGATTCAATTTCAATACAGAATTTCATTAAATGAGCAGCCTTATACAAACTACAACTGCATTACAATTGTATAGTTATAAAGTACAGTAATAGGACATTTGAAAAGTATGTCGTTAATGTAGTCAAAATAAAAACCCATAACCAAAAGGGGTCAACACAAAACATTTTGCATTAATTGTATTATTGTACGTTAAGGTTAAATAATTACCTTGTAATACAAAAATTATTTCACATGAATAAGAACATTGCTTTCACTGAAACCACTTGGGTTTGTGTCCCAAATGCCACACTAAGCCCTAAGCTCTTCCTCCAAGTCAGCACTTCTGTGACGTAGAGCAAGCATGTGCACAAGCATTCAAGGGTGCACCATTATTTAAAGGGTAACAGGACATCCTTGCATGATATCACTCATTGGTTATAGCTCACTCTCAAAATACTTGCTGTTGTTGCTGCTTTTAAACTGCTTCTTTTCCATTGGCCAAGTACACATTGGCAGATATTTTTTTTAATACTTTTTCACCCTCCGCATGAAATTGAATATCTCGTCTCTGCACAAAAGTAGTGACATTAATGTGTTAATTCATGTTGAGCAGGTTTGATGCAAAATAAACTAAATTAGGAAAACCTGGCAGTACAGCTCTCCATTTATTTAAAGCTTTATACCATTACATTACATCTTTCCCAGTACAGAAATGACAGAATAAGAAATATATAACATGCTCATTCACATGAAATAGGATTGATCCAAAGTAGGCAAAGTAAAACAAATATGGTAAGCTTGGCAAATCCTCAGAGCTTTGTACTATTAAATACTTAATCTTTCCATGTACAAAATACACAATACAGTAGGTAAACAAATTCATCAGTCGAAATGGGGAAACAAATAGTCGCTTTATGTCAACACTTCATATCTAGAATACATGCAGTATGAATCTAAAGTAGATTAATTAAATTTTGTTTATACATAATGTGAAATATTATGAGTTTTAAAAGTGTGAAAAATTTCACTTTTACCAATACTTTTAATTAATACTAATACTAATACTAATATTCTCCATGGCAATTTCATTCCACTTTAATAGGTAAGAACATGAAACATCACCATTCTGCAAGGAATTTGGGGTAATTACCTTCAGTAAAGTCTACACTGATGTGGACTTCAGAGAAAGGCTCATAAAGTGCTCATTAGGGGTGCTCGTGAGCAACCTTTTGAAACACAAGTTAGAAATGGTACACACTAACAAAGACTTGAGCGAGAACACGCATGTGAAGGGCATGAGACCGCAAATGTGCATATTGAGACACGGCCTTATACTATATCTATAATGTTTTAAAGATAAAAGTATGCTTTTTGCCTTCCTGATGGCAATGTTTTTTTGGAAGACATTTAAACTATTGTAAGAAACTGTAATTTGAAGGTTTCTAAAAACAGTATGCAGCATCGTAATTTTCTGAAACCTTTTTGATATAATGCAAACATTTGAAATTCATGAAAATAAAAGCCACATTAACAGTGTTACCTTGCAATTGTAATATTCTGTACTTGCAAACAGAATAAGCACCATTCACAATCTTTGCTGTGTAATTAGAGTTAAGAAAAGAAAAAAAAATGTGCAAACTTATTTTTATTCCCAGAATTCTGTTAAACAGAGTACATTTTACAGTTCTAGACATCTGGCATCTAGGACAGTGGCATCTAGGACAATTAATAGAAAATGTTAGAAAATATAATATTCTAATGGTTAAAATGCTTTAATTGACGGGACGAGATATATTTTTTTTCTTGGACTGAAAGCAGGCACTATAAATTCTAATGAGAGTTCTTTTGCCCTCTGTTCCGGGTTTTTACACCAGTGTCCTGTGGGGTGGTTTAATAACGAGGCAGTTGAGCTGCACAGGGGGGCCCTTTTGATCACAGTAATGAGTCTGGGTTTACCATGCTGTACCTGCAGGTGAAATTTGTATAGTACAGTCCTGCTGCTTCCTGCTTTATTTATGTAAGAGTTCTACCAGGAGCTGCCACGTTTCTAGTGCTTTGTAGTTTAACTGCCTTATAACCTCGCATTTGACTGAACAAAGTTTTAAAGAAGTCCCATTTTATTTATCTTTGCACTTTTTCAATAATTCTAGCACTATCAGCTAAATTGTAATGTGTTCTACTGTATGTAACAATGAGGAGAGATTTAATTTATTTTTTTCTGTATTTCTTTTCCTTTGCTGTTGTTAAAGTTATTTGCTTTGGTCAACAACTTTCATAACACATGTATTCCTGCTATTACTAGAAACACCATAGGATACCGATAGATAATTGGATACATTACAACAATATTCTGATAATATGCATCATATATTTATTAAATATACAATGGTTTGTTTTGCAGGCATATTGCATGAAACCTTTATTCAGTGCTAAAACATATACAGTATACTGTATTTTGTCTAGCTATGATTTACCCTTGTCTGTGATTAAAGACTGTGGTTCGTTATGGTATGTGGTACAGTATCTTACCCTTCCCTTGTGGACCCCCAACATACCTCTAAATCTACACTTATAGTACTGTATATCTGATTATTTTAGGATTATTATAAATTTGGCACAAGGCTGTGGTAAGAAGGGCTGCTGTTAAGTCTTAGATAAGATTCTGGGCATGGGCATTTTCTGTGTGAATTTTGCATGGTCACATGGTTCCTTTTGCATTCATTACTCTACACTGACCCTCTCAGAGTTCAGTTCCCTGTTAGCCAACTATTAGCCCTGTCTCCCTGTCACTCATGGTATACAACATCTAGAAGAATAAAATCTAACTTTGTTTTCTGTTTTAATATTTAGAAATAGTCTGTTTATATAGTATTTTGTTAAACACCGTGAACGTTCCAGCAGTCCCACCCTGGAATAAAGAGTTTTAACTACAGTGTACAGTCCTTATTTTATTAAAAAATACAACTAAATAAAAACTCCCACAGAATATGATGTAATGGTGCATATTTTTTTCTATTCTATCATATATTTAAAGCTATGTCCTTCGTCCTAGGAAAAATAATTAAAATGCAGCCAAAGTCAGAGTCCTTTGAGTTACGTAATAACATGCCACATAAGCACTGATTTTTACAGTTGGACACAAGCTGGGTTTAGAGAAAGCATACTACCAGTTCACTGTTTGATCTTTATTTATTCACTTCCTTAAGATGGTACACATATTTTTAGATGTTGTACACATATGTTATATGAAAGACAGACAGTCTTGGTTTCAATGAAAGGCAAGAAAGGAGCTTATGTGTAATAAATATTATAGTGAAACCAGTTTTATCACAGCATTAGATACAATACAGTATATGTAAATTGGGCTTGTACAGTACTGTATATTTCATTTTATACTGCATCACCTTTATAGATTTAACATTAACATAATAAAAATATTAAATCTGAGCACAGTCTTCATGACGTGCTTCTAGAATTGTATTAAATGGAAAACAAAGCAAATAACACAAAAAAGTAGACAGTGAAGAAAGTCGAAGCTATTAAAAACTGATATAAAGTTTCTCATAATCCATTTAGTCTCCCCATCCATTTATTCACACTGGTGCATAATTTATCATCATTACATTATAATACTTCTTATATGTATTTATGTATTATTTTTAGGAAACATATAATTTATGTATAACATTTTGTAAAGTTATTGTCTATGTTATAAGCTGTGTGAAAAAGGAAGGTTTCCTTGTAACTCAAAATATCTGCTCTAAAGGTGGTACCACGAACTTTGAGTATATAAGTCAGACCTTGGTCATTCTGAAGAAGCAGGGCCAAGGAAGATTGAGATTATGTGTGCCTATATGAATATGGTTCAGAAATACCTATTTCTTTAACTCGGTTTTACTGCAAAACAGATGAACCTGACATCTGTGAACACTAGGGATCAGATGACCACTTGGTAGAGGGTCCCTATGACAGTATAAATGTAAAACAGACCTATACAGTATATTAAATACAGTAGACACATTCTTCGAAAATGACAAACTCAAGCATACATGTGTATCTTTGTAGATAAAAGGCATATTTGTATATCTGTGTGGTTTATTCTTCTTTATTTCGCTTTGTACAGCACATTACTGAATGAGACTTTCAAATTGTATTTAACACCTGTAGGCCATATACAGTACATAGTGTACTAGGAAAAAGGAAATAATTATAAACAGTATTATAGGCTTAATTTATATTACGGTTGTTGTGTATCCATATTTAAATTATATTTTTTTGCCTTTGTGACCCTATAGGGCAGTTTTTATGTTGCCTCAGAAAACTGCATGCAGCGTGCACACACGTGGCACAGGAGACTTTGTCGTCTTCTGCTCTCTGCACACAGAGGTCTACGCACCTACTTCATCGGCCTAATGAAAGAAATACCTGACCTGCCTCAAGTGGAAATAGGTAATGTTTTCATCTTATTTGGAAAGAAATAGTTTTCTCATTAAGAGTGCATAGGCAGGAAATTAATCATTAGTGTAATGAGAAACTGTACTGTGGCAATAGGAATAGCTACTGTAGATCCAAAAGGCAATTTGCCTTATCACTATGTCTCTCTCTTTTCTCCTAATCTGATACTCAACCAGTTATATTAAAAAATAATAATTTGTTAAAATATGCTATGTAGTTATCCACACGAGCCAATTAAAACCATTGTCAAAGTAAAAAAATGTATAGTAAATTATAGAGTGAATTGAAAGGACTACTCATTGAGAACCAGTGTGTAATATACAGGTACAGTAGTTTAATTTGGCAGTCTTCTGAGAAGTAGCTGAAGATGAATTGTGTTAATTGAGTTTTAAAATGCTGTTTAACCATTTTCCATCTGTTGATGTATTTCCTGAATATCCTTGCTATTATTACTGCATTTCAATTTTATTTTTCTGCTTCTGTCTTTAGAAGAGCTCCCCATAGAGGAAACCTTAACTCAGCTTTCCATTGAACTGCAGGTTAGTTCACGAAAAGAATGTCTTCTCTGTGGCAAAAACAATATACTGTAGGTCATAGGTCCAGTATATTAACATTAATACTCTCAAAGACAAGCAAATACAGTAACTGTTGTGAACTAATTTTTTCCAAACGTGTTTAGAATAGTTTAACTTTTGAGATTAATTTAGGTGAACATTGAGGATTTACCCATGCAATTGATACACCGTCACACTGTCCAGCTGAGAGACTGAGCTGGGCTGGGTGCAATCTTTGCTGGCTGGCTCTGGGACTTGGCACTTCCCACTTGGCAGTGGGAAACAGCAGGAGAGTTTGTTGCTGAGCTTGATGCTGAAGACATGGTGGATTCCTCGTGGATTCCTTGTTAGAGTAGAGATACAGTAGGCTTGGCTTCCCAATCACTCTGTGTGCAACATCTGACTCATTCCAGTCGCTCCAGTGAGACTGGTGCAGAGACCTTACTTTTTACTGAGCTGTATAACTCTTACAGAAAATACACTGATATTCAGGTTGTCAAGAAATGATTGAACTGTATTATTTTCTTTAATCATGTGAAATTTTAAATTGGCAAGCTAATCACTAGATGTCTCTTGTGTAGAGCGAATCTTGGCAGATTTTGGTTTATTTACAGACTCATTCTGTCTTGGCCTGGCATCTTGAATATAAGTTCATTTTCCTGACTCAGACAGCAGTAATTGGAGTCACATGGTTGATTTATCATATCAAAATGTTTGCTTATTATAGATAATCTAAATCGCAATATAATATACATTTATTATAGATATCAGCATACTACTTGATGCGTTAGTCTGAGTCTTTATCAAAACTAGTTTAACCCAACAAACTCTGTCTCTGAAGAATTCTGCTTCTGTTTTGGAGTTCATACCCTTTGTGTATTTTGTAAAACTTAACCTTATGTCCAAGAAGGCTGCCAATGACTTAAGCAGCCGAGTTAATTCCAAACAGTAAAGTATACTCTTATCCCTTTATATACTGTACATGGTCCAGCCAGACCAATTAAAACGTGATTGAACAACTGAAATGGTGATATTAAACATAAATCAGGTAGGAGGTCTGCTGTCTTATGTATTAGTACTTCACCTTCTGAGTACTTCTTTCTGAGCATTTTTAATGGAATTCCTCCTTCCACCCCAGCTTCACACTTCCAGCGCCCTCCCTGGTTCATTCCACACAAGTGAGGAGGATTTTGTTATTATTTTCCTCAGCCAGCCACATTAATATTAAATATTAAAATGTTAAGTATACTGTCCCTATGTGTTGTCTCCTCATGTTAAATAAAATTAAATCAATTTGACTTTTGAAATAACATAAGCAGATAAAAAAAAACATAGCTAAGGAAAGGATATTAGGAGTACAAAACATAGCCAGTAAAGAGATTACTGTACAATTTTTAATTTAATATATTACTATAATTTTTAAAAGCCTTTTTTCAAAAGCACTTTGTAGTGTGCTGCAATACAAAAATGAATGTATTCCCTGTTCTGATGCAGTCTGACAGATTTGTCCAAAACTTCAGAAACTATAAACCAATTGTGGCACCTGTTATTTTTTTTCTTAAAAAAAAGCTCTAAGTTTATTCAGCTAACCCACATATTCTTCAATATCACAGTGGTTTGAACATTTGAAGAGCAGTGCTATTATTGTTCTTCATACTCTGCTCAATTACTCTTTCACTGTACTCAGCATTCATATAATTTTCTAGAACTGAGCTTCTCTGAAGTCAATCTATATATATATACTCTATAAAGAGCCTATGAAACAGCACTGGAAAAAAGCTGCAGTGCCACCCAGTGTACAAACTCAACACAGAACTGTGGATTTCAAGAAAAAGAATTCATGATTGCATTCAGTATGGAGATTTAGAGTGCATTCTTGAGGAAATGGGAGTATATTCCATGTTAAAAATGTTTTATTAACTCATACTGTATATTAGAAAATCAGAATAAATCACTTTCTCTCCAAAAGAAACATAGTAAATTCAAACTGCTTGAGCATTAATTCCACTGTATTTACAATGTGAAATAATTTAACTTATGTGGTAAGGTATATGCCCAATGAAATATATTGCCTAACATTTCTTCTCTCCTGCAGGTACAGAACAGTCATGATAAAGTAGCTGAGCAGATCAGCAGAGATTTAACCCAGCTCTGTTCCCACCTCACGGCTCTCTGGAGCCAGTTTCTTGAAACCGTAGTTCCTCAGGCAGAAGTTATGTCTTACTTGGCTCAGGACCACCACACATTAAGGGTAAATATAGCATTTCTATTTTTTACACATTTGTGTTACATACTGTATGTCAAGTATGACATAAGTCTCTGGCATTCTCTGGCAATCAAAATTGAATTGTCTTTCAATAACCTTTATTAGCAGTTGAAGGTCTAATAGGTTGATATGAGTTGTGTTATCCTTATTTTTAAGCAACCATTAAATACCTGCATCTTTAAAAAGTTGCATTTATAGCAAACTGTAATAAAAAAGGTTTCAGAGAAAAGGTTATTCAAGCTTCGACAAAACTTGTAATATATGCTGCAAATGTATGATGTAACAATATCATTTTTGGAAATGTTGATTTATATACTGTATATAGACCCACTTTCTTAGTAATAAGGTGCATATACAGTACTAGCTGTTGCAATATTAATTTAATGGTCAGATTTGTTTTTTCAGAATAGCATAGATCTTTACTTTTTGCATTTAATTATGATGACAATAGTTACTTGAGCATTTTTGTTATTGCAGCTACTATTAAATAATAAATGCAGAGGAACACATGTTTATACAAAGGTTTTTTGTACTTGCTTTTGCCAATACACTAAATTCACTAGCAGAGAAATTGTACCTTAAATTGTATTTTGGAGTGCATGTTTTTTTTTCTTTTTCACCTCATATATAAACTCTGCATCTTCTACTGCAAAGGAAATTATCAACATACTTATTTTTTAGTATTGTGTGACACAAATGCTTTATAATTATTCTGCTACTTATTTGTGTTTGTAGTGGAGGCTATATTTAGTATTTAAGGATATTATTGGCTCTATTATTATTGCAGATGTAATCTTTTTTTACACCCAGGTCAGAAGATTTTCAGAGGCATACTTTTTTACAGAGCATCCCAAAACTACATCTCTAACATTTCAAGAAGAACTGTAAGTATTTAATTTCTTTTTTCAGATATATTTATTTCACATTTATTTAAATTGAGTGCTTCCCATGTAAGTGGGTCTGTAAAAGTCCTCAGAATCATCTGTAGTCACATATTAGCTGACTGTGACTGTTATAACCAATCAGCGGTGTATGGTTGCCTGATTAACACTAGGACTAGATGGACTTGGATCAGGTAGATTGTCCTCAGCTGACACTCAGTTGCATCACCTGTCATGTGCTGCATACTTGAGAATTTAAAGTGTCAGTGAAAAGCACATCACTTCTCCAAATCTGTTGGTAGGGCACAGGAAACAAATGGCAAATGATTCAGTAATAGGACTGTCAGAGTGGATAACCAATTCCAAACTTGAAAGATAATAAGAGTTCACTAGTAGTGCTTACATGTGAACCTTTTTTAGAAGTATTACCTGAATATCTTTATTTTAACACAGAAGATTGTTTTTCCAATAAGTACAGTATATTGTATTTATAAATACAGATACTAATAAGCATGTTTGCATATGTTATATTTAAGTACATATGTACCATATAAAAGCTGTCTGTATTTAAAAAAAGGTTATGCAAGTGTATTCATAGTGATATCATTAAAATAATAACTAAAATGTTTTTTTTTATTTTGTTTAATATGATAATATTATGCATGTATAATATAATATGCAATTTGTTTGTGTGGAAAAGCATCCAGAGACACAGCCAGATTGCTTCAGAGGTGAGAGGATCAGAGTACCTCACAAGGATGCCCCCTTTACCAGTGGAATGTCTAGATATAGATGGGGATTGGAATACTCTTCCCATTATTTTTGAAGACAGATATGTAGACCTTCCCAGAGCAGGTCAGTTATACATTTTTCCCTGTTACAGTATTTCTGTTCAATTTACATAAAACAGCATACTTACGTATCTAAAACAATTGAATATATGAATAGGTACTTTAATAATTGTATGTTTTTTTGTTTGTTCATTATTGGATTCCCATGTCCTTTATATAATTTTGCTGTTGAGTTTTAACCTTGTGTGCATTTTTTTCCATTTTTAATCTAGGCTTTAGTTCTTATTTTGCTTTGTAATATGAAAGGCCCAAGTATTTAAAAGATTAATAATAAACTGTTAAAAATCAATACAGTATAAGACAATAATTGCAATCCTCGTTTTCAGCTTCGTTGTTTTGAAATGATTATGTTTTTGTCAGAAATGTTAGTGTAACAACTGAATATTTCAGTCACGTATGCTTTGCTATCTTGTTTTTTAAGAATTCACATTCTGATAATTTGGGACTTTTTAACTTGTATTTGTTTGCATGTATGTATATATTACTCATTACTCAGAAGTGTAATGCTTCAATTTTCTTTCTATAGATCATAGTTTGGACAGTGTCACATTGTCCTCACCACATGTGCCAACTTCTGATGGAAATGCAGAGAAGGCATCTTCAGATATTGACGCCTCTCCAGCTGCTGCTATCACTGCATGCTTAACAGCAGAACATGCTTCTGAAACACCAGCAATAAATGAAAACCTTTCCAACAGTGAAGGGTCTAAAGAGGTGCCAACTTATGTTTCAAGGATAGGTGAACTCCAGGAAAGCAATAATAACGTCAAGAAGACTCATCCCTCACAAGATTACTCAAGTGATTTTGAGCTGAAGAAAGCAGATCATATGGAGCTTTTGTTTAACAAAACAGAAGAAAAGTCTAACACAGGTCTGAAGTATATTGAGGTTAGGCCTAGTGATATAGACCCTTATAGGGGAGATGCAGTCATTGTAGTAACATCAAATGCAATTGCAGATACCTGTAACACCTCGGATCACATTCCTGAATGTGAAAGAGAACCCGATAGCAAAGTTTTTATTAATATTGATCAAAATGACACAGTTGAGACTGATGTAAATGCATCTCAATTAAACATTTTAGATAATATGAATATGAAAGAAACAATGCAGCATCCTGAGTTTAAAGCTTATGGGAATGAAGACATGCTGTTAACCAGTTTGTCTATCACAGATTACCCAGCTTCAGAGCATAGTAGGTCTCCAACTGTGTCCAGTGAATGTGACACAAGCAAAGAAGATGTAAACAAAGCAGGAAAGATACACTGTGGCAGCAACTTAAAAGTCATGAAGAGATCTTCATCTGTTATTTCGGATTCAGGGATTGAGAGTGAACCTAGCTCCGTAGCGTGGCCAGACGTCCGCATCAGACCACAGGATTTCTCCAATGACCGGGATATTTTGCAACATTTGGTGAGGAGGCATGCTATGCATCGCAACTCTTTGGAAGGCTGCCAGACCGAGAGTAATGCAAGCTTACCAAGTGGAATACAGGCCTCTTTAACCTCCATAAGTTCATTGCCTTATGAGGAAGAGGAACAGGAGATAGAGCTCAGTAAACTGACAAAGTCAGTCTCTGCTCCACAGATCAGTAGTCCAGAGGAAGCTGATGAGGATCAAGAAGCTGCTGAACATCTTCTTGACACAGAAAGTGACATAACAAGTGGCTATGACCCAGAATGTTATGCTGCTGTGGGTGCAAATGCAGTCAGACAATTTGATCATCCAACTGGAACTCATTCTTCTCTAGAGGATATTCTAGAAGGTGACATAACAGAATGTGCAGTATTTAAATGGAAGACCTGTACTGATAAAAAGGAGATTATACCCTATGTGGAAAGCTATGAGTACTCAAAGGAAACTCAGAGACCTGCTGATCTAGAATTAGATAAGAACAAATTGAACCCTCAAGAAGCTGAATCAGTATTAAGTGGTGTACCAGAGGTAATGCTGTTTCAAAAATTTGTTGATGATGCAGATGAAGTTAAAAAAACAGTTGTTTCTGAACCAATTGAGAGTAAAGGAAACTGCAAAAATGGTAGTGTGTCAACATCTGAAGATATACTGATATATAGCCAAGAGCTACCACATCACAATAATGAAACTCATCTGCTGGAACAAAAAGAATGTCTTATGAATGAGACTCGAACATCCATTAGCACCAGGGACAAAGACCCAGCCAGTGATGTCGAACCAATATTCCATCACATTGAATTGAATGAACATGATACAATGATGCAAGTGGATCAAGATCAAGTGCTTGAGCAAAATAAGAGCCAAAATGAAATCCAAGGAACTGATAAAGACAATGTTAACTGCAGTGGTGGTGAGAATGATGACTATGAGCACCAGCTTTTTGCTAGTCAAGGAAAAACTTCAAAAATCCCAAGTTCAGGGTTAGCATTTGTGAACAGAAAAGTTGTTGAAGTAGTTAACTTGTCAGTGTCCTGTGCCCCTACATGCCTGCCGTTTTCATCCGTGCTCAGAGATTCACCATCTGTCAGTGGTATTTCAATGAGGCAAACAGCATCACCCATCACCAGACAACCCCTTGGATCCTTTGGTGTAATATCTTCCAGTTCTTTCAGTTCAGATGAAGAAACCAATGAGAGAATGATACAGTAAGTGATGTCTTACTACACGGCAAGTCAAATGACAGTGCAAGTTTGTAGAACCTGATATAGTTAAATATTTATCATGATTTTTGCTGCATTTTTCCCAAAGAACTCTTGGTTAAATGTTTGTAAAATCCAGCTATGTGAGGCGGTCAGAAACTTATATTCTGTCTTAAAAAAGAAAATCAGTGTGCAATGGTGTATTAGCTTAACAAGGTCTGTAAAGCAGTTGAGTAGCAAGCAGTTCTGTAGATAAGGAAACAACCAACAAATCAGTACAACGTGTCCCTGTATTTGTGCTTACACCAACTTCTAATAAAAATAAATGTAACACAATCCTATTCCAATTAAATTACTCTCAATTCTTGAGTCCTATGGATCATGCAAATATTTTGAGAAAGAAATGTAAATTCTATGAAATGTCTGTTTAAAAACGCAATCTTAATGCATGGTGTTGTTGTTATATTTTATTTTATTTCACATTTTCTTTTTATCCCTTTCATTGTTATTTATTTTGCGTAGTTTCTACAAAGCCAAAGATGACTTGCTGAATGAGCTGAACTTTCAGGGCACTATGTACAGTGATTTGCCCCAGTTGGCCTCCGAGGTGCCATATTTCCCACCTGAGGAAGAGGATGAAGAGTTTGAGGATGGAATTCACTTAGTGGTCTGTGTCCATGGATTAGACGGTAAGACATGAAAATACAGCGGTAACACTCGATAAAATTACAAGAGCAGGGACATTTGTTAGTTCAAACTGTGTATTGTTTGATATATGTGGAATATTACACATCTTTTTCAAATTACAAACTTCAAATAACTTATCTTTAAAAGAGAGGCATATAATAAGCTGTGCTGTGAAATAGCTTGAGGAAATTTAGTTAGGAGAGTGTGCCCTCTGGTGGAAGGAACTAATTTATATATCAATGAATTTCATTCAGCAAGATAGAGTAGTACTGTAGGTGTCAAATTACTGTATATGCATCTATTTCAGCAAAGTTTTTGTTATAAGCAGCTCCTTAATTTTGGAATCCACGTACTGTAACTAATTAAGAAGATTGCATTATCAGAAGTCAGCCATGGAACATTCTATAATTATACAAACCCATTTGTTAGCTGCTATAAAAATATAATTACAGTAAATAAAATATCTGTTTGAACGTTAGAGTTTATTATTAAATAACTAAATACATTTTAACTTGAAATTACTTTTGTTTAAAGTTTTAATTATTTAAATAATTAAAAGAGGGCATTCTTGCTTTTGTCTCATCATGAATCTCTTACAGGAAACAGTGCAGATCTACGCCTGGTGAAGACATTTATTGAGCTAGGTCTTCCTGGATCCAGACTGGACTTTTTAATGTCAGAAAGAAACCAGGTATGTCAGATATTGAAACACAGTTGCATCAAACATGACATTGTGAAATAATTCTTCAAATGCTGTTTAAGAAAAGACTGTAGAACTTAATCAATCTCATCTGATTTTGACCAAAATATAAATTTAAAAACTATTTTTAAGCTTATTATTTGTTATTGCCCTGATCATGTTTAATATTAATTTAAGCCACTTTATATTAAATATCCGTTACATTGGCCTTTGACTGTCTGCTTAGTCAAAGACAGAAATATAAATCTTTATTTTCTTTGTTTCATTTCTTTTCTTCTTCTACAGGCAGATACATTTGCTGATTTTGACACAATGACAGACAGGCTATTGGATGAGATCATTCAGCACATTCAGCTCTATAACCTTACCATAGCCAGGATAAGGTAATGAAGAAGAGCTTTCTCACACTATCACATGCAAAACTCACATTTAGTGTAGAAAAAATAAAAAAAACTGGCATTTTTTTCAGAGGCTTTCATCATAGCATTGGATTCACAAACTAACCCATACCTACAGTATACTCACTTAATAAATATGTTACTCATTATACACATCTTTGAAATTCTCAAAGTACAGTATATGAATTACAACAGCGCTTCTAAACCACTAAACCAATTTGTACCAAATATATATTTAAGAAATATTTTATTCATTCAAAATCAGTAAATAATTTGTATATAATAGGCATAGATATCAATTTAACATTATAAGACTGTCTCTAATAACTCATATTAAATAAAAAGGATCATTGTTACATATACAGTAATCTGAATTATCCATGTTGTTTAATGGATATTTAGAGTATACTCAAATTTCTCCATACCTTAAATATAATTTGCAGCTGTTTGTTATAGGTATATTTTATATTCTTTTTTAATGTTTGTATTTAAAAATACCACTTTAAAGTAATATAATTATATTCCACATATTAAAAATGAACAGAGATGTTCTTTGGCACTATATTGCAAAGATGAACCTTCAAGAGTTATGTAGCAGTAAAGTATTCTATCTGTACAGTGAAAAGATTGTAATGTTTTTACCTTAAAAGAAGATGCAAAGTTTCAGAAGTATGTAAAACAAAAATATATTTATTGTAAATATTTATCTTTTGTGATTCATTTATTTAATCTATTTTGTTACCCTTACAGTTTCATTGGACACTCCCTGGGCAATGTCATAATCCGGTCAGTGCTGACTCGTCCCCGGTTTCGATATTACCTCAGTAAGCTTCACACATTCCTCTCCTTGTCTGGCCCCCACCTAGGAACTCTCTATAACAACAGCACTTTGGTCAGCACAGGTAAAGCCTTAATCAATTACAAATCTCCAATTGTTTGAGATGAAATGGATTTTAAAAATGTAGAAAAGAAAAAGTACAATTGTCTGTGTGTTATTTGTTCGGATCAGATTGTATATATTATTTTGACTTAGATGCATTTCGGATCACACGTCAGGACCAATTAATGCGACAGATGATTTCAAAGTGTCCACAATCTTTTTCTCTGTCAAAAGATGTTAAAAGAATATTCACTATTGTTCTAAATGTTCCAAAAGAAATAAAACTACAAAAGTATTAAAATTACTTGTATGTATTATTTACACAAGTGTACAGAATATTTTAGAACTATGGTTAGCGAATCGGGATATTCCTGCTAGAAAATTTCATTATTTTCTATCCACTCTCATCCTGTGGCATTCAGAGGACTCCCTATTTAGGAACAAAATTGATAATAATATACAATAAAAACTGACATATTTTACAACGAGAAAATAACAAAAACATATTAAATTCTCTACTCATTGTAAGCCAGAATGAAAATTGAAATAACAACATAAAAGGTGTGCTGCCTAATTAAAAGCCTGCAAGAAAAAAATCATCAAGTCAAAGTATTCAATAAATTGGAACATACACAGTATGCTAAAGCATTCTGAAATAGTAGTAGTTGGTCTCTTGGCAATTAAACCACATTATTGATCTCACTCGGTTAGTATTGCTTAGTTTCTTAGTGATTCGACACCAACTTAAAATGCCAGGTGTGTCACTGTCATTCTAGATTAAAAAAATATGCACAGAAACCTAGCCTCAGGATTATAGCTTGGATTCTTATGATAATGTATGCACCTGTTCTATTTTATGAATTTAGTTATAAGGTATGGAGCAACTAATAATATTTTATGAAAGTATGCAAGCTCTAGAAAGTCTAGTCAAAAGAAGCATAATGAGTTGTTTTTTGTTTGTACTGTACTTAATGATGAATTCTCATCTACATTCTGACTAATTCAGGACTATGGCTAATGCAGAAACTGAAAAAATCTGGATCACTTTTACAACTGACC